AGGAGAGAGAGAGAGAGAGAGAGAGAGAGAGAGAGAGAGAGAGAGAGAGAGAGATGAAAAAGGACATCGCAAGGAAACTGAAGCAGAGATAGTATACAACGTGAGGATTTCAAGGAACGCCCGAGGGTGGCTTAAGAAACGATCGTGAAACACGGGACCGACGTATTCCCGGGATTTATCGTCTCTTTATTCGTTTGTACGCCCGAAGGGATGCCTAACGCGGAAAAGTGCGTCCGATCGGTCGAGCGATCGAGGAACGATCAAAAGGCTCGCGATCAGTGGTGCGTGGATACCGGGTTCGCTGGCGGGGAATCCCGAGCTCTTTCCCCGCTCGAATCGAGAAAGCGGCTTCCTCCGCGTTGATGATCCGTCGGGAATTCTACCAGCAGGAAGTGCGGTGAGTACAGAGTGTGGAGTATCCCTGTCACGAATCGATGTCTGAAGACACACCGGCCAATTAATACCATCGATTCGATGTTAGGAAACTGTGCATAGAAAGAATGATTTTGCTGAAGTTTCTAAAAGTATTATTAAAAATAATTTTGATTGAACCATCAAAATAACTACACTCTAAATTTCTTGCAGTGAAATCTCACTCCAAGGGAGTGAAAATGCAGTCTCTCTCGAAAAAAGTGAAAATATTTCACTTCTTGGAAAAAAAAATTGACGACTTTCACTTTTTTTAGAGTGAAGTCTCACTTTTTTGAAATGAAAATTCACTCTAAAAAGAGTGAAAATTATATCACTCTTTTGCAAGAAGTGAAATATTTTTTCACTCTTTTTTCAAGGATGATTGTATTTTTATTTGCTTAGAATGAGATTTCACAGTAAGAAATTTAGAGTGTATGTAGAACACATATATCTCTAGGCGTTGTCAGGATTTTATTTAGAGAGCAAAGTTGAGACTTTCGAAGGAGGGATGGAATCGAGTAATATAAACTTATTTTGTTTCATATTATTACTTTTAATTAATTACTGGCAGATAAATCTTTTATTTAAAAAAATGTACTCACAATTGTATGTAAAAAAATGATATATCAAAGTTAAGGAAATCTTTTTTTTTTTAATATATATAATTATTTTAATAGTTTCAAAAAAAAAATATTATTTTCAGATCTGTACATAGCTAAATTTTTAGATACTTCAGCAAAATCGTTCTTTTCCCTGTAGATTCAAATAATTAATCTGCTTGTCAACAAGAAGAGAATAGAATCCGATCGATTGCGAAAATGTAGAGAAAATTCGCGCGAGTGAGGGCGAGTGAAGGATGGAAAACTCTCCGCTTCGAGATAGATGCTCGGCTCGTGGTAGGTCCCGGTAGATGTAACGGGTGAGGCGGACCAACGAGGATCCTAGGATTTCCCTAAGAGAGACTAGGACTGTCGAGAACAGCGTGAAACGGCGCGCAATTAAGGCAGTTAAGATGCACCAGCGTGTGCCTTGGCCGTTGCTGCTCCTGACCTTGTCGCTGCAGCATTTAACGAGCTTGTCGACGGTGCAGTCGAGAATGCACAACGAGGCGGTACTGATACCCGGCGACATCGTGCTGGGCGGACTGTTCCCGGTGCACGAGAAGGGTGGTGGTCCAACCGCGTGCGGGCCCAACATCTATCACCGGGGCGTACAGCGGCTCGAGGCGATGTTGTTCGCCGTCGATCAAATCAATCAGGAGGACAACATCCTACCGGGTGTCACGCTGGGCGTGCACATCCTCGACACGTGCGGCCGCGACACGTACGCGCTCAATCAGAGCTTGCACTTCGTCCGGGCGTCCCTGTCCAACATCGACATCAGCGTGCTGGAGTGCGCGGACAAATCGACACCCAGGGTAAAAAGGACCGCAAACGCGGGACCCATCTTCGGCGTGATAGGCGGCTCCTATAGCTCGGTGTCGCTGCAGGTGGCGAACCTGCTACGACTTTTTCACATCCCCCAGATATCGCCGGCATCCACGGCTAAGGCGCTCAGTGATAAGACCAGGTAAGAACCATGGCGCACGAAAAAACTTAAGCCCACGGCACATATAAAAAACGTTACCCTGGTGTAAAATTTTTCTGCTAATTTTTATACGAATTGGAACATTTTTCAGAAATACTCAGAAAACATTCGGAAAGTTTACATCTTTTCTCAGAATTTTTCATACAAGAATTTCGAAATATTCTGAAATTTTTTATCCCATAATTTTTAAAAAGTATTTCAAAATTTTTTAGATTTTATAACATTTCATCAGAAATTATACTTACAAAAAAATCTTAAAAATCTTACGATATTTCATAATTAACATATATGAAAAATTCTGAGAAAAGACGTAGATTTTCTGAGAAATGTTCCAATTTGTATAAAAAATGTGAGAAAGTTATAAAATTATAGAGAAATTCTGAAAAATTATATGAAAAATTCTTACCAGGATAAGGCAGTAAGACGTAAGCAGTAAACAAATTGGCCAATCACAGTAGAGACTGTAAGATTAGTAGCGAATCCAATGTTACGATTTCCTTATTTACTGTTTACGTCTTATACTGCCTTACGTTTTTGTACGTGCCATGGGTTTTAAGCAATAAAACATAAGCATTAAGCGAATTGACCAATCACAATAAAGTTTAGACCATAATGTAAGCACTAGCCAATCCAATACGTTGATTTCCTTACTGCTTACGTCTTGCTACCTCAAGTTTTTTTGTATGCCATGGCCTTAAGACTACAGATGGAAGGGCAAAGCGTTTGTGCATTAAGAATAATTATTAAATTTTGTAATATTAATTTTTGCTACAAAAGTTGACTGTTCGTGTTTGTCGAGTAAAATTGGAAAGTTATAATTTAAAAAAATAAAGTTAAAAGGAAAGTGTACAAAAGGACCTTTTCCTCGATGGAAGTAACTTTTTTGTATTTTTTTGAACAACCAAAAAAGTGACCTTATTTGAGAAATTTATTGATAAAAAATGGCAAAGTGACAAAGAGAGGAAAGATGAAACAAATTTTGCACCAATCTAACAGTTGTAAATTCTTTAAATTCTAATTAAAAGCGCATTTAATTATTCCGATGGCTTATCGAATTTATTCGAGATATATTTCACGAATTTCTGCTCCACAATTCCGTATATTTGAGTAATCAATCAATCTATTATTCTTCACAATTTACAGATTCCAAGTAAATATTGATTTTTTTCATGCAAAATTCATAATCTCTTTTTTCTAAATTTAAGTTTAATCAATTATTGGCTCAGACAATATTATTGATTCGCCCGATATAAGGCCTCAATTGTGATTAATTTGAGCATTCCGACATTCCTGTCAGACTTGTTAGTTTGACATCGTTTGTCGACCTCGCGTGTAATTGTCATTAGAAGACTTCCGATTACTGCTCAAACACTCATTATGAGTGACTTTGATGAGTACGTATCTGCTAGAAACGTTTAAATGTAACTCAAGGCTGCATGA